TCGCAGTAAATCTATTATTTACATTTATGTTTCCTGATTAACCATATTATTTATTGGTGATCACTTCTTGAATAAATTACAATACAGAAAAAAGTCATCTGACTTCCAACTAAGCAAAAGATAACTGTAAAATGCAAAACTGAGAATGAGTGCAAAACTTTAACATTTGCCTTAACTTTCATTTTTGTCTCCAGGTTTTTTTATTGTTGTTGGATTGACCTCAAATCGTTATGAGAGCGGGAGTAGGGATGTACCAATAAGAATATAGAACAAAAGTGTGAAAGTCGTTAGAACTATGAAAGATAGCGGTGGCTGAAATAAAAAGTGTTACATCATGTTACAGTTTTGCTCGTCACTGTACATACTTTAATCCTTAACTTCTTCCCACACTGACCATTCAACTTTTTCACTCTTCAGCTGCTTTTGATATGTTTACCCATTTCAGTGCTTAAGTATCCACTTATATGCTTCCGTTAATGTAACTTCTAATGAACCCGCAATAAATCCCCGACAACATTGGCAATTGACTGCCAGCCATCGTCGCATCCTGTGTGCCTCTGATGAAAGCTGAGTGAATAAATAATCAATTTTGTGCTACACACACAGAGTGAGTATACACATACATAAACACACTGCAACCACACAAGACATTTTTAATTACTCATCTAACACATTATAAGCTTCGCTCCCAAACATTTGGCTTTTCGCTGCCTTGAAGCAAAAGCAAGCATTTAAGCCATGAACCTAATGTAATACATATACATATACATACTCACATACATGCACATAATTATTTCGACATCGCGTCACGTTGACTCGCTTGCAAAAACCGCAATTTTTCATTTGACTGGTGCATTTAATCCAGCGACATGCCACATAAAAAGTAGCAAACAAAACTCTTATTTTTTTTTTTAGAAAAAGCTGAAATGGATTCAACGGCAAGTATGTGTACCCACACTTTCTTATTTTGCATTTGGCTGCAGCATGGCTAGGTGACGACAAGTGCATTAGCGGAGAGAAAAATGCAAAATGTTGACGAAGCAAAAAACGAGTAAACAAGAAAGGTGGGAAAAACACCGGTAGCAGCGGGTTGTCAGTTTTAAGTAGACGCTGAGATGCTATGGATTTTAGGTGCTGTGAAATGTGGCAAGATGGCACGGCACGTCAACTTAACGGCAAAGCAATTATTCAAGCAAAAATTAAGTGTTGAGCAATTTGCTGAGGAGGAAAGTTAAATGAGTGCGAGGCAAGTGAAGTAAAGTGAAGAAAGATGCTTTTGAGGCAATTAAAGTGCTAGTTAATACGTTGAAATACGAAGTCTATAATTTTAAATCGTTAAAAAAATAAAAATGTTTAATTCAAGCAAAATAAAATAAAAAGATTTAAGGGGTAAAGACGAAAGCGAGGATATCTTACGCTAAAACTAGTCGCTTTGATTAGAAGAAGAATTTGCAATATAAGATGAATGCTAAATTGAAGGTACCATACTTTGTGAAGCCACATCAAGAGACAAGTGGAAATCGGGGAAAAAAATTGGCCTGAACACTTTTGTGTGAGTGTGAGTGTCTTGGCATTAAAAATAATAAACGTTTTTAAAAAAAAGTACGTTATAAAACTTTTTCGTTTTTTTTTTTTTTATAATTCAATTGACAGCCGAAACCTTGACTTTTTTGATACTCGTCTGTCTATACATAGGACAAAACGTTCCTAATCGAAAAACAAACCAAGTTGTGGTATCAATATTGTAGCACATGACCGCGTAAGCTTTTTACGAAAATATGTTTTTTCATTGGCACAGCAATAATTCTACTTTTAGCTCATTAGAAGCTTTTGTAGTCTATTATTCTTCACCCCGAAAATCTATTACGAACGACATCACCTTGACAGATCAATGTATCGAAACTTATTGAGCTCTACGTAAGTGACAAGTAAGCTGATTTTCCACGAAATATTAAAAAAAACGTGGGAAAATTTAGAAAACTAACATTTCATTAAATTCAAATCGTTTTCATTTTATAAATAAAAAGAGGAAAAAAACAAACGAGATGAAGTGGTTTAAATAAAATAATATTTTATATTAAACAAAAAACTTATATTGGTCCTATTTTTTAACTCTATTAAAAAACAACCACATTCTAAGGACGAATTAAAGGTAAATTGGTTTTTTTTTTTTTGGTAAATAAATAATTTTTCCGCTTTTATGGCTATAACTTTTTGAGGCAGCGCAAAAAACGAGTGACGCATATGTAATGTATGTCAAAATTTCAAACTGAATTTTATTTTTGTAAAATCCGCAATCCAAAAGTAGAATTGATTTCTGAAGTTAAAAATTTTATCAAATCCCGTTTAGTATACATTTTTTATTTGCTCGAAAAGTCACATCACGAATAAAGTTATTTGTGATGTCACTCGTCAGACAAGTAAAAAAAAAGTAAAAGTTATTTGCGATTTAATTCGTTGGACAAATAAAAAAAAGAAATTTATTTGTGATTTCATTTGTCGAGCAAATCAATTTGATTCGTGATTTTCCAACTAAAACTCTTTTATGTAACGCAAACACGATTTTCTAACAAATAAAATTTATTTTTGATATAGTTGATGAATTGAATCACATATAAATTTTATTTTTTATTTGTCCGACGAATCAATTCACAAATAAATTTTAGTTTATATTTGGTCAAAGAATCAAATCACAAATAAATTGTTATTTATTATTTATCCAATTATCCAATTACAAATAAAATTTATTTTTAATCAAATCATAAATCAAGTAAATTTCTTAATTACTCAAGCTACTATAATGCAATCTAAAATCTAAATTTCGACACTACAGCTGTATTTCGCCTATTGTCTGTGAATGAATTAAATGCGGAGAAAATATATGTAACTATTTAAATTCAGAAAAAACTACGTTTTCTCTGCCGCATAACGAATATGAATAAATTTTGCATTCATTTGCATACATCTTACGAAATGTACATAAAATCTGCAAACATTTGCAAAACACCAAATTACTTACATTTGTTATAAGGCCACGTGAAATGAATTCTAAACTTTCATTGTACCCCCCTTTCGTCGCCATCCACCCATTTTTTATGATTTTCAAGCAACACTTTTCACCTACTTTCAGCGTATCAGCCACAACGCAGCTTTCGTATCTTCCTTCTTCTCAAAAAGCTGAAACTCAACACCTTGGTTGCCTAACTGCATTTCGCCTTTCATCTTCGTAGTTCTTTTGCTGTTATCCTTAGGACTTTATCCTTATGTAAATGATTATAGATGATCTTAAAACGTTTACCTTCATTTCGAAAATGAATACAACAATACTGCGTTGAAGATGTGTCGCTTTGCAAGCGTTGAACTGTGAGATAGCTAATATTCGTTGGCTGCATGCAAGCGGGTGGGTGGCGGATGATTGTGAATGCTTAAAAACTCTCCTGGGCGTGCTTTATACTTATACCCTTGCATACTTACCGCTATGCAGATGTTTTTCCTTCGCTTCGTTTACTATTTTGTCTATTTTATCTACTCTTTTATTCGTTTTGTTACTTTTGCCGCAAGATGACTCCTATGAATTCTTTAAAGTTAGAATTTTTATAAGTTTAAGGTCCTTTTGTCGCCTTGGGAGTTGACAAGTTTGAAAGCATTGCTGCGTTCAATTTTGATTTACGTCAAAGGTAATCTAAATTGGGATTGTGGGCATTAAAATGTGGGTGGCATTTGGAAATATTTACCTATTTACCTATAAGCACTACGAGTGCTATGTGGTAAGAGGGTATTGTTTTCTTAATATTGCTATTCGTCCCGTTTCTGCGTTAACCATGTATCTATATTTTTTTTTGGAAAACTAATGTTACCACTTATAACTAAAGTTTAAGCGTCGCACTATTTGAAAATAAAACAAAAACTTAATGTTAGTGCTTACACCTATTAGTAGAACCAGATATACTAAGTAAAAAGTGCTTTTATTATATCCTAGTGGAAGAAAATAGGCAATTTTCTTACATTCTTTGGAATGATTCTATTGCGGATACGAGGTTAACACAGAAACGGGACGTATTGAGCTTTGTACCACGATTATGTTTATTAGGAAAAATGGAAAAAGCAACAAAGTCTAAGCGGTGGAAGTTATAGCAGCTATTTCGGGTATTGTGTGTGTTTTTTTTTTAATTGGCTTCCGTGCTTAATCGCCGCCAAACTCTCAACATGCTGTATGATTTGATCCAGTTGAGAATCGAAATTTTAAATAATGAGATAGGCATTTTTTCCATCGGAATACTGCAATTTTATTAAATCATTTAAAAAACTAATAACATTAAAATAGTTTTTATATCACTTATGAAACAATAAACAGTAAGATGGCTTGAGTAAAAATTAACAAAACAAATATGTAATTATATAAGAACGTATTCATACTATTTACGTATATTAGGGTGGTCCAAAAATGCATGTGAAAAAGTAAAGTCGGAATTTTTATGCTCTCATCCATAGGATTGTTCTATACCGAAAAAATAAGACATAAAAAATATGTAGAGGTCGCTCAAAGCGCCCAAAGTTTCCATTTATTTTATAAGGGGAAAAAACAACTTTTCGTAGAATGGTATAGAATAGTTAAAAATTAATATTTTTCTACCAGAAAACTCTGTTTATCAGCAGGAGATTCACAATAAAAAAACCCAAAAAAAAAAAACCAAAAAATGCAATGGGGCGACCAATAAAAATTCGTTAGTATTAAAAAATGGTTAAATAAAAAAGAATTTTAGGTCAAATATATTTAGCGTGTTTTTCTGCTAAGTGGCAAAAGAAAACTCGGAACTTAATCATTAGGGCCCGGATTTTATGCACTAAAAAACGATATTATGCGCATATAATGTGCACTAAAAAATCGAAAATATTATTATTAGTATAATTTTAAAGAGAAACCTTTAAGCTTTTGACTTAAAAGTCTTCAAAGTTTTGTTTTACTAAATTTCCTCTCTTCTTCTCTTTGCAGCTTATGCGCGTTCTACGTAACTTCAATATCACCAAAATTAGCGATTTGGAATTGATTTCGAATAGCACAGATCGCTTGGATATTACATTTCATTTTTTCGGTGTAAAAGGCGATTCAAATCGCATACGTGAGGCCATTACTCGTATGGTAGAACGTGGCCGCATTGGAAATATTACACTCGTTTCGAATTACCATTTATTCGATGAAAACCCACCGTTGAATTTATTGGTGAGTATTAGAGTACTTAGTCAACAAATTTATGTGTTACTGGCACCTTCTGTAATTTAATGCTGTAAAAATTAAAGCCACGGTGGGGGACGGGGGATATTAAGGTGCTGAAGAGTGGGCGTAAACCCCTACACGTATTTTTCTGGAATTAAATAAATTAGTTCCCTGGCCACTTTTTCTTCGAGCCATTCAACATTTTTTCTAGCCACTATCTTCATGGACTCATTTTGTACTTTACCTTTTTTGTTAATATTAAAGGAAGCTATGCCTATTGTCTAGATAGCTATGGTATTGACACCTATTATTTATAACTGATATCGCGTGCGTGAGCAGGCAGCAAATAAAGGTATCCCAAAGAACATGGAAAGCAGCAAGTATCTGTAAATGTATTGAAAAGCGCATATGAGCAATATGAAGTAACTTAAACTTTTAAAATGAAAAAAAAAATCGTCAAATATCAAAAATTACAATAAAGCTTCGACAGATATTCCGCATGCTGCCATTTTTTTTTAATTGGTGGCACGCTCTTGAAATTTCACAGGTATGCTGTATTCGATGCCAGCTTTCATTGCCTCTAAGATGAACATTCTACTTGAAAACTTCCCAAAGTTATTAAAAAAAAAAGAATCCTTCAGCGGTTTTTTTTTGTTTTTGGCGAGAGAAGGTACTGACAAAAAACAACTCATGAGATTTGCTGATATTCCTATATTTTTACATACGGAGTGGATTGAATCATTCATATCGCAAGCTACTAAAACACTGCATAGATTCAGGCGTTTGATTCCTTTAATTGCCAACGAAAAGAGAAAAAAGCAACACTCACTCTAATGGGTGTATTGCATTGTAGATTAAATCGCAATTAATTCCACTCTTTTTGAAAATTAAAAAAAATAAATAAATTTGCCATTCAAAATGTTTTTAAATGTACTTATGTGTGGTTTAACACATCACAGCCATCTATCATTGTGTCAGATGATTCATAAGTGTTCCATTTAAAGGATATTCTGCTATTTAAAACGATACTGGAGCTAAATAAAAAAAAGCACTGAAAGCGATAAAAAATCAATTAACACTTTGCACTCACTCTCACTACTTACCAAAAGAGAAAATGTTTTAATTTGCAACACACATAGCGGGGTGTAAAGATCATCTGTGTAATTACACGCATGTACACCCCGCGACAAAAGATAGCACATCAACATTTTTACCAGTTTTGACTACACTTCGTTTGCTTTTTTTAAGGTTCACTATTTTTATATAAAAGTATAGTTTGTGGAATTTTTATAATTTTTGTACAAAGCCAGAAATTTAGATTTATATGGTACTAGATCGCTCTCACCCGCTTCGCTGAGTATATGAAATTTCTACGTGCTACATTAGATGCCATTTATTTTAATTAAGCTCAACATACTTAAAATATGCGAAAATCAGGAGACTTTAAATTTTTTAAATATCTTCAAAATATTTTCATACTAAACATATATTAAACCTCTCTCTTGTGATACTTTTTCATACTTATGTACATGTAGTTTAGAAATGAAGCCTTTTAAAAATCATTTTGGTTGACACCCACATTGTACTAATTATTTGAAATGATTGAAAATTTTGAATTTTACTTTTTAAACCGTTAATTCCTATAATTCAAGTTGAATTTGAATTTTCAAATATGTGGAGTCCCTGATATACATATGTTGCTTAGAAATAAATCCTTTTCAAGACTGTTCCGATTAAAACCTAGATTGTAATAAGTCACTAAACTTAAAATATAATTGTATTCGAATTTACATTTAAAACCCTCAGAAAACTCTACATGCTCAAGATGAACTTTTCTAATTTAAACTCGACTTTTAAAACAGGTGGCAACCCTCTTCGAAATTTTTTTCTATTAAAACCCTAATAAATCCCTCTTGTCTGACGTCCATATTGTGATGCATATTCCAATTATCAAACCATATCAAATAATTTGATTTTTGAACAGGTGGCAACCCTCCTACATGTAGTTTAGAACTAAAACCCTTATAAAAACCTTTTTGGTTGATAGCCATATTTTAATAATTCATTTGAATTAAATTAATTTAATTTTTCAAACAGGTGGCAACCCTCCTACATGTAGTTTAGAACTAAAACCCTTATAAAAACCTTTTTGGTTGATAGCCATATTTTAATAATTCATTTGAATTAAATTAATTTAATTTTTCAAACAGGTGGCAACCCTCCTACATGTAGTTTAGAACTAAAACCCTTATAAAAACCTTTTTGGTTGATAGCCATATTTTAATAATTCATTTGAATTAAATTAATTTAATTTTTCAAACAGGTGGCAACCCTCCTACATGTAGTTTAGAACTAAAACCCTTATAAAAACCTTTTCGGTTGATAGCCATATTTTAATAATTCATTTGAATTAAATTAATTTAATTTTTCAAACAGGTGGCAACCCTCCTACATGTAGTTTAGAACTAAAACCCTTATAAAAACCTTTTCGGTTGATAGCCATATTTTAATAATTCATTTGAATAAAATTAATTTAATTTTTAAACGAGTGGCAACGTTTGTAAAACACCTCAGTAATATTTGAAATGTTCAATCTGAAGGTTTCTTAGCAATCTTTCATTTAGCACCCATATATATATATTAATTTTTCAGATAGCTTGCTAATTATTAATTTAAATTTGGCTTTTCCACAGGTGCCAACCCTTTCCAAAATACTTTCAAACTACAACTTTTTTAAGCCTCTTGTCATCCATTCTTTAATATAATTTTCAAATAAATTATTCCCTTAAGTCACGTCGAATTTGATTTTTTAAACAGGTGGCAGCCCTCCTCCATGGGTATGGAATTGATTTTATATACATATATGTATCTATAGCAAGCTCCTATACTCTATCAAAAAATATTTTTTTGAGATACGATATGCGGTATGATAATTCCGTTTTATGGGAGGTGCCACGCCCCTCGTATAATCGAGATTAAATCTATCCTATATTTTAAGTTGGGCTGAATGGCACCAATCGGTCACTTTCGGATTTATAATAATATTAGTAGGGATTTGTTAGATAAATACCTCTATATAAAAATAATGAACCTTAAAAAATCAAAAGAAAAGTAGTCAAACTGGCAAAAATATTGATGTGCTATCTTTTGTCGCGGGGTGTATGCAGATATTTTTATATCTACGTACATATGTTGTTTGCGTACAGGCCACCAACGTGTCAGGCATTCAATATTCATGCACTCGTTTACTTTACGCGCATTTTAACAACTGTCACTCAATACTTTTAATTAAAAATACTCATATGGCTGTCACTTACCTGAGTAGGAAAATAAACGATAATGAAAATGATAATGTAAATAAAAAGATGCAAAAATAATGCGCATAAAAATACGAAATATTTATGAGACTATGCACTGTGGGAAAAGTGCAGATTTTTTAAACTAAAATAAAAATGGTGTTCTATTTTGCATGACCCCCCAACCCAATATTTACGTAAAGGCTTTTAATTTAGGCTAGATCTTCCGTGGGTTTTTTTTACCATATTATATTCCAATGTTATGCCACCTAGGTGAGCGAGTCTGCGGTTAGCGAGAGCAACACATCTACAAAGGATGTGGGGTTTACTCGTCCAGCTCGAGGAAACGACAAACGCAGGGTAGAATGTCCCGTGTGAAGTATCCAGTGACAGGTTGAAAGTCCTCCGTTCCTAGATGTATGCACTTTTTTGAAGCTTCTTGTGGTAGACAGATACACCGCTTAACTTGTGTTTGTCCCGGATGTGCACTCCTGTGGCCTGTGGAATTTTTTGTCCACCCACTTGTTTATGACCTCCCTTGAGTGTGCTTTGGTGAGCCCACAAAAGGGTTCCGGGCCATGGCGTATTGTGGTAGCACGTGGCCCTCATGCCCTGGCACCAAGCCGAGTAATATTGTGTTCTTGATTCCAAGAGCATTTGGAGTGCTGAAGCAGTCATTTACTAGTTTTGATGCTATTGTGTGGGACTTCAGCGCTAGCAAGGCTGCCTGACTGTACCACATAATGCAGATGTTTTTAGAAGATGTGCTACTCCTTATATGGAAAAGGGTGGGATAACTGCCGACTGATATCGATCTCTTAACATTCGGTCCAAACATACCAGCTACAGTTTTTCCATTTTCAAGTTTTGAGCCATCGGTGTATCTTCTAGTTTAGTTTAAGGGCTTCCTGTACTCCCGATTCAAATATTATATTTTGTTTTTAAATTAGCTAGTTTTACAGATTGTACATCAAATTATATAAAACGAAAAATCATGAGCTCACTTATTGACAACCTTGTGCAACGACACTTAACAGCTTCACACTTGCGGAGGCAAAAACAGTAATAAACTAACCCTCATATAGATGCATACATATGTATGTGTGTATTTATATTAAGCTTCAAAATATACTATCGATAGGTTGCGAATAAATTTAGGTAGTATCTTCCGCAGCGGCATGTCGTACATGCAAATGATTATTATTCATGAATCTATAAACAATATACTCATTAAAATTTACCATTCAGCATATTTTACTATATACATATAGCCTTTTTTTGCCGTATTTGTTTCCATAAATGAGTATCATTCTTTAGCAATTTTTACATGCCTGATCGATCAATCAACCATATTTAAGCATATGCTTTTTTATTTAACGTACATATGTACATACGATACATACATATCTCTGACCAACAATCTGCAAGGACACTCGCTTATAAACAGTTAATGAATACATACCACATTGCTACTGCAAAGCCACATATTAACGTAAGCACTTGGTTACACACTCAATTGTGAAGCAGCATGCTTGGCCTGCAGCATAATAGCATTGACACGGTGGGCAGGAAGCAAAGATAGGTTGCATAAAAATGTCGACAAAAACTGAAAGCAGGGTTGTATTTGTTGATATTTTTAGGTTAAGAATCCCTTTGAATTGAAATCCTAGCTGCTCCTGTTTTAAAGATATCCACATTTTACATAGTTAT